ATGGCAGCATTGTCCCCTGGAATAAATGGCAACATCCTGAAACACAAACGTAAAAGGACTCTCTGTCCCTGTCCATTACTGCTTTGCAGCAGGCGCCGCTTGGATGGCTATAATGGAATTATGGGGAGAAAAGAGTCTGGGAGGCAGTTTCTTATATCTCAGTGGCTAAGGGCAAGGTAATGGTTGCTGCACAGTCATGATTACAGCTCAGGAGTATGGCTACTGGGGCTGGTGTGCTCCGTGCAGCTTCAGAAACCCATGGCAACTGTGCCTGGAATTCTGAAGGATGCAGCAGAGGCAGATGCATAAGGCTTGGGAATGGTCAGGCACCGTGTCGTGGTGTTTTGTGTCTCCTGGCACTGTTATCCTGCAGCCCTCAGTGTGGCTTTGGAGGCCACGGTTTGGATGAGTGGATTGCAGCATCCTGAGCCTGGGAATGGGCTTTCCCAGGACACACTTGTTTTGCAGGAAGTGGCAGAGCCAAGGCCTCTGTGCTCCAGCCAGAGTGGGAGAGGAGGGTGAATCTTGGGCAGGGTTTGAGGAAAACACCACTGCTCTCCCAGTGCTCTGTGAGGTACAGCTGAGAAAGGGATGTTAAAAATTAAATTCAAGGAAAAAAGAGAGTGAAATAGCTCTCAAATGCCTGTAGGGAATGCCAGGAGCGATGGATGTAGGCACATTCCCTGTGCACTCTGGGCAGAAAGCATAAGGAAAATGTGGAAAAGCCCTGATGGTTTAGATGGGGCTGCCCCTCTGTCTCTATTCCCGGTGAGATGCTCTGATATGGGCTGGGATTTGTCCAAAAGATCTGAAATTGGCTAAATTAGTGGCAATGCTGCTTTTCCCAGCTTAGCTGGGAATTTCACTGGGTATTCCCCACATCCCTGGGATGTGTCTGGCCAGAAACATCCCTGGTCCTGGGGCCAGGTATAAGGTGGGCAGTGAGAAGAAGGGCCAAAAAAATGAGAAACCATGGCTGGGGGATGGAACTAGATGCTCTTTAAGGTCCATTCCTACTCAAACCATTGTGGGGTTGGTTTTCAGACCAGTGTGGAGTTTTGTCTTCTTGGTAGAGTGAACCCCTGTATAACAAGGGCTTGGCATGAGGTTATGACCACTGCAGGAATGAGCTCCTGAGGATGTGCCAGGCCAGCAATTAGCAGGGAAGGAGGTTAATGAGCAGACTGTCTGGGTGGAAGCATGAGGAGGAAGTAGAGCCTTGTAATCTTACATGGAGGAGACTCTGGGATCTTTGGATGTTTGGAGAATGGGGTTATTTTCCCCATAAAATTTTCCAGACAATTAGTTTCATGTCTTATGACAAGTGCTGGAGTTGCACCCTAGTTTTTTGGAGGCATCTCCCTGGGGACATGTTGCTCCATAGGGGTGTGCTAGGAGCTGTGCAGTGTGTTTCGATGAGTCCTGGAACTCATCCCATGTCTGGTGACTGTGTCGGGGCTTGACCTGTTCCCTGAACTGCAGATTCATCTTGTGATCCCATGACAAAGGTGTTGCTGCTGGAGCATGAGCGGGAAGGTGATGTCATGGGAGGGGAAAAATCCAAAGGTCATGGAGGGCAGAGGAGTGTGGGTGCTGCTGTGAGCAGCAGGGGGTGTTTGGCTTCATCCTGAGTCACCTAGAGGGGCTGGGAATTCTCTGGATGTGGAGCATGATCCAGGTCTCTGTGGAGAACCTGTGTCTCCCACAGAACGGAATGTGCTCCCTGCTGCTGCCCCACCTGGGTCCCCATGCCAAAAGTCCTGGGGGTGCATCCAGGTGTGGTGGTGTGTGGTGCTGAGAACAGGCTTATCCCAAGCCCTCCCATGGCCATTTAACACTTGGAAATGATCCAAGAGAAATCTGGAATCCCTAGGCTCTGGCAGCCTGCAGGAGCTGGGCAGAGGTGTGGGAAGGGCAGAGGAGGTGTGGGTGCCCCTGGCTTTGCAGCTGCACCAGTGGAGTTTAATGGTTCGGAGATCCTGGTGTAAATCATTGCCAGGGCAGGGCACAGGCATGCAGAGATGGGATGGAGTGGGCTGGCCCCAGGGAGAATCCCATGCTGCAGGCAGAGGGAAGGGGAAGAGGTTTGGAGGGGGCTGGAGCACTCAGCTGGCACTCGCCCAGTGAAGGGGACAAACTGTTTAGTGCTGTTGGATAGGACAAGGGGTGATGGTTTTAAAGTAAAACAGGGACAAATTAGATTGGGTGTTGGGAGTAAATTCTTCCTGTGAGGGTGGTGAGGCACTGGCACAGGTTGCCCAGAGAAACTGTGGCTGCTCCATCCCTGGAAGGACTGAAGACCAGGGTGGATGGGGCTTGGAGCAACCTGGGCTAGAGGAAGGTGTCCCTGCCCATGGGATGAGCACCCAGACAGGGCTGGGGATGCTGGACCCGAGTCAGAGACCTCAGCAGCTCCTTCTCTAGGCACTGACATCAGAGCACCAGGGTTATTGCTGGAGCAGTGATGGGAGCAGCTCTGGAAAGCCAAGAGCTAATTCAATGGAGAGGCAGACTAGAATAGCAAGTCTTCTGCTTTAATCTGATTGCCAGGCTGCAGGGTAGCACTGCAAGGAATCTGAGGAAAACTTCCAGGCACAGAGGTGACGTAGAAGCTGAAATCCTGCCCACTTCCACTGGGAAGCCACAGAGGTTGTGAGCAGGCACAGAGGTTTAGACACCACAGATAAATGCAACCAACCCTGTGTGTGTTCAGTGCCCACCGTGGGTGCAGTGCAATTTTCCCACCCCAAGGCCATCACAGCAGTTCTCAAGTGAAGTCTTGGCAGGCCAATGTGTTTGTGATGAGGATGGGAGCTCGGTTGGATTTACAGGTAAGGAAAAACCCCTCTGGGCACAGGCAGGCAGGGAGCAGAGGCATTGTGTAGGAGAGCAGAGGGCAATGTTGGGATCAGTGGTGCTTGGCATGCTGGTGAGGACCTGTGGATACAGTTAGGAACTGCAGCAATAGGACAAGGAGTAATGGATTCAAATTAAGGAGGGGAAATTTAGGTTAGATATTAGGAAGAGGTTTTTTTCCTGTGAGTGTGGTGAGACACTGGCACAGGCAGTGTTCACAGCCAGGTTGGCTAAAGCCTTGAGCAACCTGCTCTGGTGGGAGGTGTCCCTGTCCAGGGCAGGTGGTTGGGGCTGGACTGGATCATCGCTCCATCCCAACCCCTAAAATTCTATCTTTCTATGATTCTATGGTTTGCTGTTTGCTGCATCCTCAACAGCTGCTCACTAGGATGGAATTAAAGCTGGGATCAGGGGATGCCCTTCCCGAGGAGCACACAAGGCAGCAGCCTAGGGCTGGGGCTGGGCATGGTGCTGAGCTCAGCTGTAGAGAATGATGTGCTTGCCACTGCCTGCCTGCAACTCCATCAGGCAGGGCTCAGCAGATTCTATGGTTTGCTGTTTGCTGCATCCTCAACAGCTGCTCACTAGGATGGAATTAAAGCTGGGATCAGGGGATGCCCTTCCCGAGGAGCACACAAGGCAGCAGCCTAGGGCTGGGGCTGGGCATGGTGCTGAGCTCAGCTGTAGAGAATGATGTGCTTGCCACTGCCTGCCTGCAACTCCATCAGGCAGGGCTCAGCAGCTCTTGTGTGTCCCATAATCCCAGAGAAACCAGGAAAGCCAAGATTCTGCCCTGCCTGGACCCACGTGGGGCTGGGGATGTGTCCATAGGGGCTGGGACACCCCTCTGGGAGTCTCCAGTCATGCTAAGCACAGGCAGTGAGCAGGGAAGTTTCTCTGCAGATTCCTCCTCTCCAGGCATACATGCATGTCTTTTCCTGCTGGAGCTAGTCTGTTTTCTGGGAGTGCTGCTTTGTTCTGGCCCTTGACCCTGCAAACTGGGCGTGCACTCAAGCTAAACAAGCAAACATGAAGCTTGGGACCATTGAATTGGAAGGTTGAGCTGCAGGGTGTGGGGGAGTATGGAGACAACAGCAGCAGCACAGCCTAGGGAGACCTTGAGCCCAAAACAGCACTGAGAAAACAGGAAGGGAAGGAAACATCCCTAGAATGATCTTGGCTCCTCCATCAAGTTACAAAGCTCACTGGGGTGAAGTTGTGCTGTGAGGATCCAGGTCTCTCACCCGTGGGTCGCAGGACCTGAGGTCAGGAAGGTGAGTGGGGCAGGAGATGTGGTTCCACATGTTTATTTTTGGAAAGCTGGAGTGTCTGGTCATGGTGACTCAGAAAACACTCCACCAAAGTGGAGGAGGAATTCCCACCCGTAGCCTGGGTGGTCAGGAATGCTTGTGCTCGGACAGCCCTGAGGGCACTCACCACCAACCTGTTACTCCAGGGAGGGTGAGCCCTGGCCAAAAGCAAGTCAGGAGCTGGACCAAGGATTCACCATCCCAGCAGCCCTTGCTGGCAGCAGCTGGGGGAAGCCACAGAGTTGACTTGGCTGGGAGAGAGGCAGTTTTGGTTTCTCTTCTCCAACCAGGAAGGCATTGCAGGGCAGGCAGCCAGCACTGCAAGCTGCCCTGCCCCGTCCCAAAAGCAGGGAAAGGAGAAACTGTACAGGTAGAGATGTCTTTCTGAGCATTTCCAGGTTGGTTTGCATTGACAACAGCTGCTGAAATCAATTCTGGTGGCTTTTTTTAGGTGCTGTAATGTTGGTTTAATCACACTCCTAAGGACAGGCAGTCTAAGCCCTGAGCAAACATCAGTAACTTGGTTGTTTTCAAAGCTTGGTGTATATTGCAGCTGAGAAAGTAGCTGAGGGGATGGGAATGGCCAGCAAGGATCCTGCTGCCCTGTTATATCCTGACAGATACACAGCAGTGTGAGATTTCCAGCGTTTGCTGGATGAAATGATGCCGTGGCCACTGAGGCAGTGGCTGTGTAGCCTTGGCATCACACTACACATTAACCATCACTTTCCCTCTCTTCCAGAGCTCCCTGCCAGCCCAGGGAGGGGACCACACGCATGCTGGCAGGGCCATGCTGTGAGGTGGGGACAGCCCAGCCAGCCAGCAGCAGGAGTGATGGCCCAGTCCAGGGCCAATGGCTCACACTATGCCCTGACAGCCATCGGGCTGGGGATGCTGGTCCTTGGCATCATCATGGCAGTGTGGAACCTCGTCCCTGGCCTCGGCCCCCCCGAGAAACCCTCCACCCACCCTGTCAACAGCAGCAAACCCGACCGTGGCTCTGGGGGTATTTTGAAGAGTAAGACCTTCTCGGTGGCATATGTGTTGGTGGGGGCAGGATTGTTGCTGCTGCTGCTCTCCATCTGCCTCAACATCCGGGACAAGAAGAGGCAGAGTGAAGATATCACCATCGCTCACGTGCAGCACCAAGTGTCTGTGGAGCCCTCGCAGCAGGAGGACAGGTGAGGTGTTTTGGGGAGAAAGGGAGTGGGGTTGGGTGTAGGAATGAAACTGGCTGTGGTTATTCCTCAGGGAGGTCCAGAGCTAAGAGGGGAAGGCTGATGGCAGCACGTGTCGTGGTTTAGGGATCTGATATATCCTGGAGGTGGGAAAGAAATGACTCCAGCTGGATTTATGGACCTGTAGGTGGAAGGGAGCCTTGTTGGGGTCTAGATGGAAGCATGGCCAAGCCAGTATTGCTGAGACATGTTACTCCTGGCTTGGGTGGCACATAGGAGGGTGCTGAGAGGGAACACTGGGGTGGTGGGTAATGGGTGACTCAGAGTGGGCTGCAGAGGGAGAGGAGCCAGAGCTGCAGGAGCTGCTGTCTCAGTGGGTACAGCTGAGGTGCCAAGCAGCCTTGGAGGCTGGCCATGGAGTTTAGACCCAGTGAAAGTCTGCAGGGCTCTGCTGTTTGCTCAGGAAACTCCATCGAGCAAAGCAAAGGCTGCTCCCACAGCAGGCACCATCTGGACAAACACACTGGACAGTGCTGGCTGCTGTTGGGATCTGCAGGGAATCATTCTATGTGCAGATGCTCCCAGAAAACTGGGTTTCCTTATTAAATTGGTAAGGTAACTTCATAATGCCAAAGAAATTGCAAGGGGTGTTGTGCAGGTACCTGTGACATAGATGGTGACATAGTGCAGACCTGAATCTCTTTCTAGAAAGCCTCAAGGTATCCAACCCAAAAGAATAGCAAAGGCAGAGGAGTGATGCCCCTTTTTTGGGAGAGGAGGAGAGAAATTGGTGTTCTCTTGAGGGAAGAAATCACTGCTGGGCTGTAGAAAAAGGGTTTGTGAGCAGAGAAAGTGAGGATCAAAGGTGTACATATGTCACAGGGAAATAAAATGTGTCTGAACATGGGGTCATGATTTGGTCTGTCAAGCAAAGAGGATGTGGTATATAATGTAGAAGAGCAAATAATCAGTTAGGGTTTGAGGGTGGGTGTGCTGGTTTGGGCTGAAGTGAAGTTAACTTTCTTCCCAGTGGCTAGGCTAGTGCTGTGTATAGGATTTGTGCATATATGGAAAAAAAAAGACTAAAAATATGCAGTTGCACACATGCATAGAGAAAACCACCTGATAGACATAATCCTGGGATTAGCAGCAAAGAAAGTTTCTTCAATGCAGGTGCATTTTTTTCCTCCTTAACACCTCCAACTTTATAGCATGAACAGAAAATAAGAATTATTTTTCTGTCTATTTACCTGTATATACCTGATCACTTTTCATTGGGATGTTAGGAACTGCAGTGATATGACAAGGGTCTGTGGATTCAGACTGAAGGATGGAAAGTCTAGGTTAGATGTGAGGAAAAAGTTTTTTACTCTAAGGGTGCTGAGACCCTGTCCCAGGGTGCCCAGGGAGGCTGTGGCTGCCCCAACCCTGGCAGTGTTCACAGCCAGGTTGG